ACACCTTCTGCGTTTTCGGTTGTTGGTTTCTGAAATATGTATCAGCTGGTGTTCTTTTACGAGGCCGGGAAGTCTGTTGATTGATTTACGACTGGAAGCACGCCATGTACTCGGGACCTCCAAGTTCTCTTCACCAACAGGTGAATGATCTTTTATCCAAGATTCGCATATTTTCAATAAAAAATCATGAAAGTAGAGTTTCTTGGAATGTTGTTGCAGTACGAACGCGTTGTATAAAGCGCAATTGAAAAGGTATAATGCTACTTTTTTTGACCATTTTATGGTTTTCCGGTATATAAGATAATAGCTCAAAAATTGATTAGCTCGATCTACACCCTTCATATATTTATTATAATCCAAAATAGATGCGGGTTTTTTAATCGTACTATTGGTTTTTCTGCATTTTTTTGCTGTGTCAACTAAACCGCCATTGTGTATGGTAGAAATTGTTCTTATTATTTTCGTCTTCGTTGCTTTGCATATTTGCACCAGTACTGCTCCTCTTCGTTGATGTTTGGTTTCAAATACATTTAGTTTGCAGTTTTCAACTTTGCCGGTAATCCTCTATTCTTACGTAGCGTTCCACAAACGTGAATTTTTTTCGTAAGCAAATCTTCCGTAAGTTCCACACTGTTATAATAGTTGTCCATATGTGATGCCATTTTCCAGTAACATTTTTCAATAGTTTTATCACTGTATCCTTTAAAAGTTTTTTAATGTCAGAGTATATTTTGTAACGCGAAATATATCCCGTAACGGAGTCACACAGCATTCGGACAAGTATACCGTATTTTGTAATTTTTGAGGGATTATAAACTTTAAAACTCTATCTCCCACGCCACGGTATCATTCCTTCATCTATTGTAATATTTTGACCAAGATTGAAGTTTTCTTGAAACTTTTTTGTAAAATAATCAATTATACCTTGTACTTTGAACAGTCGCTCGGCATTGACAGGTATTTTACTATTATCCGAGAAATGTAAGAACGATAATATTTGCCGAAATCTATTGCGAGACATCGTTTTACCAAATATTGGTGTTTCCAAAAGTGGATTTGTTGATTAAGAATCTTCAATCCTTGGTTTATTAACGATTCCCATAAGAAAAATCAGTCCAAACCATTTTTTTAGTTCGACTGCCGTAACACTGAAAAATTTTGCACTTTTTTTATCGGACTTCCTCCTGGTGGAATTTTGATCGTAGTACTAATAAATTCGTTTCGATATTAATAAATTCAAACAAGTCGTTCTCTATAAATAGTTCCACGACATCCTCGTTATTGTTTGTATCTCTGGGAAGTACGTTAGGACAAGAATATCCTTCGAAAGCATTATTGTTTTTTGGTAAATCAAAATCTGAACACTGTCTATTGTTATTTTCGTCTGATTCTTCTGTATCACTTGGTAACGGTAGTGTTTGCCGAATTCTCTGTCTACATATTTCAGATTCATCCGAAGATATTGCCTCATTTTCCTTTTCTAAAGACGCAATGTCTTCTAGTTTCTCACAATTTTGAAATTCGGATGGAACATCAGACGAGATGTCCACACACTTAACACGTATAATTGTATCTTCTTTTTCGTTTGCCATTGTCGAAGGGCACAGGTTTTTATGAAAACACAAAATTGCTACATCTGTAATTTACTGTTAGTTACAGAACACGCAATATTCTTTCGTTCTTCAGATTTTAATTTGAATTGAATTCTCCATAATGCAGTCATTGGTGCTTGAGCAATAATTTCCGAATGGCACCAAGGTGGAGCCACTGACACTTACCCGATATTTTTCGCATGCCACCAAGGTGGAGCCATTAGATTGTTTTCTCAGCGGGATTATGAAATTTTAAAAGTATAATGCAAAATTTTCAAATTAATTATTATAAGTACAATATGAACAAAAATAAAAATTTTTCAATAACAGAAATAAATATATACCATTATAAAGTAAAAAACGTAGACCATAACTAATAATTGTTATTAATTATTGTTGTTTCTAAATAGAATAATTAAACTTCGAATTGAGAATATTTATATTAATATATCTTCATTGTTGACGCGCAACCTCAGATATTTACAGTATTTTCTCCTAAGGGTATATTGACGCACGTGGGCAACCTCATGTATGTACAGTACTTTATCCTAAGGACCACATATCCCGATTATGTATATCTATCCCTGGGAATTCCTTGAATGATCCCTAAAAAAATAAGCAGATAAAAACACATTGCTACCTTTGTTCGTGCTTAGACATTATTAATAAAATGCCTAGTCTTCGATAATGAACCGGGCACCTACTCTTCAAATATCAATGCAATACTCATGGTTCCACACGGTCACCAGAATAAAGGACCACGCACGAGATTAGTCAAACATTTCGAACGAACTATCCCGACACTATAGAATATTTCTTTCCCGATACTTTTTATTTAAATTTCTTCTTTTACATTTCATTTTTCTAATTCATTAATGCCTTCGTGGGCAGTTTTAGAGAAATCTCTAAAGCACCAGTAAGACAATCGAGTTACCAATGTCACTGGCTATGCTTCAAACGGAAGTATCCAGCACAAAATAAATCGTATCTGTCAACTTACATCCTTCAGACTCAGAACATCCAGACCTCCGAGTCTACTTACATTACTTGCTATCACTCCTCAGAAATAGGTAACACGACTAACTACACGTTACTACACAGGAACACATCAACAATTTTATAATACTTCAACAAATATAACGTGATAACTACAATTTACACTATATTTACTATCTCGCAATTACCTCGCAAGCTTCACGGGATCCTTCAAAAGAATTCGCATTTTCCCATTAATATGCGGAAACGCGGCGAGCAGTATTTTGTTGACGGCTTTCAACGGTATCCAAATTCTGTTAAAAATTTTTTGATCTATAACTAGTAATTCCACAAGTCCCCGTTTCGATTCCCCGTTGCAATTCAAATAATATCTTCACAAGAATGTTATCTTCTTGTTGCTCTTGGTAAACCGTATCGCTAGAAAACAGCTTCGAAAGAATCGAACGAGATTTCAATTTTTCACCTTTTGGCGGAGGTCATGCAAGAGAAAATCAAATCGTCGTAAAGCAAAACGAATGGGTCTGAAAAACATCGAATCAGGTTCAATCGATATAGATTTAATAATTTTTTCGATAAAATTCGAAAAGATTGATTGTCTGAGTGGATCGAAATGCATTTCTTCTTCTTTTTCTATTTTTTTTATACTCAAAGGAGTTCAAAAACGGAGTTACAAATTAATATCTAATCTGCGCAATAACTAAAATCTCTGTTAAATAATCGAACAATCGATTAAGAAAATATTCGAAATGTATCCAACGAATATCGGAATTGAAAAGTTTAAAAAAAAAGAGAAAAGAGATAATTAACTATCAAAGTAAATAACTACACTCGCCGATAACGATCCTCGAATAAAAAACATGTAATTGAGCATAATATATACAATATATTACATTATAAAATTATTGCATTAATGAATAATTTTATTAATTACTAGTTAAATGCATTTCTATTATTACTTCGAAAAAATTATTTGCCCGACTATCTTCCTGACGTTACTTTTTATTTTTTTCCTTCTACTCGATTTTATTTCTCTTTTAAATCGTCAAGCATCCTCTTTTCAACATTTAAAAATGTCTTACCTTTTCTTTCTCTTTTTATTTTTTTATCGAGGCGAAATATAAAAAACTCATGACTTCACTTTATGAACATATAACATTCAGAAGGAATGATAGTATTAATTATAATGATGATAATAATAAAGAGTTGTGAATCGTGACAAGGATTAAAAATATTTAGCCGTATAATTCGAGTTACCTCTTATTATATAAATTTTTATTTTTCATTGTATAAAATACGGAAAAATTTAATTATTAATTCATATACTAAGTTTTTCAGTGTCCATTATATTTGTTAATTATATTTTTAATTTCTTTTTTATCTTTTATTTTAAATAATATTGTTACTATATAATATATATATAATGAAACATTCACTACTTTTTTTCTATCCTACTCACCTATATACTAACTTATTATTTCTTCGTCTCTATAAAACGTTCCTAATTTCTCCACCTCGCTCACTTACTATCTTTCTATCTCTCCAAATCATTTACTCACTCAATATTTCTTTATCTTACTAAAACACCTACAATTTCTTCACATTTTGAATTCACACATTCACTCTTTACATCTTTGTATTAGTAACTCATATATTCAATTTTTCTTGATTTCTCTATTTATGTTAATTATAGAGATAAGAGAGACAGAAACAGAGAGAGAGATGGAGAGAGAAAGAGAGAGGGAGATGGAGAGAGAAAGAGAGAGGGAGAAAGAGAGAGAGAGAGAGAGAGAGAGAGAGAGAGGGAGAGAGAGAGTTAATTTGTATTTTTTATTTCATTTATTTCTGGATATTCTATCTAGTAATTTTCTTCTCAATATTTTTCTTCTAAATAATTACAACCAATCTCACTCGTGCCGATTTAAACCTTTCGTCCTCGATAGGATGGGAATCAAAAATTCACTTATTATTTAAGAAGTTCTGTGATGACTCCAAAATAATCGTCCGCGATTTAGGTCTAAATTAAGGGTGAATGATTCATAGCTGTTTGAATATCAGAAAGATCAACATCGAAATTAATTGAAATCCTCTTTAATGATGCAATGATTCTAATGGAAGTAATATTTTAACGAACGATCACTGAATTTACTTCGCAAAACTATACTGTCTTTTATAATATAAATACAAGTTCGGGAACAATCAATGAGTCGCATCGACTGCATTGCACGCAATCGATGCTATTTTACTTGTCGTTTAAATCGCATCATGCGACGAACAAACACTGCTTTTATGTACATTTTTATGTACATTTTAACTATACGAATTTCCATTACATCATTGCTTCACACGCGTTTGCAATGACGTTCTTAAATTGAACAATAAGAACTATATTGTTAGTATCATTGTTGTTAGAAAGAACTGTGTAAATTATTTAAGCAAGCGTTTAATATAAAAATATATTTACTTTGTAATTAGTTTGATACTTGTACGAAAAACGTCCTGAGAGAGTTCCGATGTTTATTGTTTTTATTTACATTACAATATGCCAACAATTGCCACATTAATATTGTTCAGTATAGACAATATAAATTAAAATTATATTTAATAAACGCAATGACTTCCAATATAAAATTTAACATCGGTATTTTAAATAAAAATTATTATTACACTTAACGAGCTATGAAAAGTTTAAGCGAATCTACAATTGCTTCAATATTTGTTTCTTGCTTTCCGTATGCACTAAAGATCGTCTAAATTATTAGAAAATTATCAAACTTATAAATTATTGAAGCTTACCTACACGAAAAGTGAGTATCGGGATGTTATTCAATCTTCTAAAAAATCTGCATATGGCATCTCTCATCTGTATCAAGATTGTATAATTTAATGAGTGCATGAAGTCTTCGGTGCAGATTAGAGTAGAATGAACGTGATCTTTATTTTGTAAACAATTTTTGAAATAATAGTTAATATATGTAAACATATATTTGAATAAGTGAACTTTTAAAATATATATTTCTTACTTCTACATTGCTATAAACTAACTGAAAAAGTTCTTTAAAGCCTTGTATACTGCAATATCCATTCAAAGTGTGCTACACCAGCTCTAAACTACCAGTCGTTATAATTTCGTATTTTTTCAAATTCCAATTGTCCTTCGGCACAAACAATTTGGCCCAGTCTATAAAACAATTAATTATTTTAAAATAGATACGTTAAATAATTATTAAAATAATTCACTGACTTTATGTCTTACATAGCATATCGTTGAAATGTGAGATCGAATTTGAACAAGCGTCAACTCAGAATCATTATTACTATCAACTTCTATGCGTTTCAATCTCAGTAAACACATCTTTCATAGCATACATGCACATGTAAATTATTTTTTGCTTTTTTTCATACATAATATACAACGTTCTTGTCTAACGAAAATTAGTTTTCCGAAAAATGATATTTTTACATAAACGGATATACAACATAAAATAAATTCCAATAATAATAATATACTTTTTATATAACTTTCTTCATGAACACCTTGTTGTAACAACCTATAGGTCTTCGTAAATCTGCTCTAATTAACTGAATTACCTTAATTTGATATCTGATTGCATCTTCATCCGATTTAGTCTCCGGTCTAGTATTACTTGCTATGTGCTCAAACTTCTTGATGTAGTAGAGTATGGAGCGTTACACACATCCAGACGCATAATAATCGAATAAAGAAAAGTAATTATAAATCATTGAAGAAGCAACTCATAACTGAACATTTTTTTCCCATGGATTTTGTACAGCTGTTATATTTCCTAATAGGAGCTGATTCGAGATAAAAACGCAAAACGGATTACTCTCTCCATTAGTATCTTTGAATACTAATTCCTTGGCTTCAATTATCTTAAGATGCATTTCTGGAATCTAGTAACAAATAAAAATTATACTCATCTATATTAAATTTGGATTGGATCGATTTATAAGTAAAACGATTTTAAAAATAAATTTCCATGTCTTGAGTTTCTTGCAAAATTCTCTCATGAGTCGATCTTGACATAATCGACTTTGCAGATGATTTAACAGAGCTTCTTGTCTATACTACTTAGAAACGTCATAATCGATTAAATGTTAAGTGTTAAGTAATGTACACAATGGCAGAGTAAGGTTCTTTGACTTGTGATATATATATATCATAGATTAAGTAAGATTCACTATCATTGATTACCTAGCTTATTATCGCATTTCTAATATAAAAAGAATAATATTATAATATTTTCAGCCATTAATAAATTACATTATTTAATTACATAATAAATTACATTAATAAATTACATAATCACATTAATAAATTCGTTACACATATATCTAATAAAAATCCTTTACCTCGCCAGGTTTTTATCAAAGAGATACCACAACGATAATAATACATGTACATCATAATTTTCTTTCAGAAATATCTTGCAAAGATATTAATTACGACAGTAGTATTTATCAGACTTCAAAATCTACTTTCCAAGTACTTAATAAACAAGCTCTGTTACAATTATACTGGAACACATGAAATTCATACATTCAAGTAAAAAATAACTATAATTTGAAATAATCACAAAGATGATAATGTAGGACGAATGTAAATAGTAATTGTAAAGAAGAAGAATATTTCAATGTGACGACAAAAAATACTTAGAAAATTGAATTTGACTTAATCCTTTGTTCTATATCTGGTCTACTAAATATCATACTCTTTCTCTGGTCTTCTCCAAACTCAACTTTATACTCTTTACTCAGTCGTTACTTTCTGTTGGTCCACTCAGTATCGTGCTCAATACTCTTTTCTCTGGCATTTCTATTCATTGATCCATTCAAGACTGCTTTGTTCTCTCTAGTCTTTCCTTTCCTTACATCATAGCCTTTTCATTCCCACTTGTATTCGTATCTACATATGTAGAAATTGTTACTGTCTGTTTGTAAGATTGTTATCTGATGTCTTTTTTTATACCGCTTCTCGATAAACAAACGCACTTCTCTTCTGTTTAATTGCTGGTTCATATTTGATTATATGGAAGTCACATGTAAGACACGTTGTTTCTTATTTCCATGACTCTTAGGCTAAAAATAGAAATCGTGTATTAGTCCACAATTAATTCACATATATATCACATTAATATATGTGATATATATGTGAAATATCATTTATATATTTATTTATATATATATATATATATATATATATATATATATTTGGGAAGGAACAGTATATTTCGATAGAAATTCAGTAGAAACTTTTTTCAGATGTAAATAACATTCTCGCATTTGCAAACGCGACCTGCAATCGCAATTATTACGATATGAAATAATAAGAATAAAAAGTAATAATATATGTTAAAGCGATCAAAACATATCCAAATAAGTAATTATTCGTCGAAAAACGAATTCACCATTAGTAGCAACCTACGCCCATGACGTCTAGAAAAAGGATGATCAATTCTCGTTCCTCAACGCCATTTCCCACACCTCGCCGATCTCCCTACTCGACGATCAAAATTCTAAGTAAGCAATAATTTTCGTGATGGTATGATATTCTAGCAGTCAATATACTCACGCGAGGGGCATCTGGAAGAATATTGGCCAATCACGTTGTTGCTTATTAAATATAGACCAATCAATTGTATTGAAAAAATTTGTGACGTTATCTTTATAAAGATCGACGACAGCCAAAATTTTACGTAATATTTTTGACCATTATGATGTATATAAACATACATATATATAACTAATGTGAAAAGAAAAGATATGATAGAACAATGGATAAGAAAAGAAGAACGGAATTTTCTTTTTCTTTCTTTTTGACATGTATCAAGTTACATTTTTCCCCCTCGGTTACTGTGTATAAAAATATGAAAATAATCGTTTTACATCGTTTTAAAATTGTAAAAAAGAAAAAAACAAATGTTTTTTATAAAAATATCAAAGATACAAAATGTTCTCCAATCAAATGTAAATAAATGCTTTTATTGAAAATGATCTTTTTTTGGAGAAAGAGTGTGTGTGTGTGTGAGAGAGAGAGAGAGAGATACAAGTAAAAAAACATAATCCCAATTTTTTGTCTTCTAAAAAGGACTTCATCAATCAATCTCTATCAACGTTTTTCCACATGGAGTTATAAAATTTTAGTTATCTATTCTATTTCTCGACCGTCTTATTTCAGAATAGTCACTCAAAAAATGTTTTTTCTTCCCGCATTAAGAATGAAAAGTACCGAAAGAAAATCAAAAGTAAAGAATTTAGCTTGGAAACAATAGCTCCGTATTCTTTTTCTATTTTTAAAGAGGTATAATAGAAGCCATAGAAATTCGAAAACGATGGTTAAACGATCGATAGATAGGTATACTAGATAAAAAATATTTCCTACTTTTTCGCAAAAATGTGCACGTGTTTTCGTTGTTCCAGTTGTTTTGTTGTGATATTTCTTCATTTACTCAATTAATGCTCTTTATAATATATCTAATTACACGAACTATTCATTCGAAACTGATAATGACAATTTATTTTTCCTGGCAGTACGAAATACGCAGCGTCCTTAAGTATTGACTGCTGTAGAAACTGATGCTCCTAACATACATGTTATTCCTTATTTCTTAGCATACGAAAAAAACATTTATTCCAATATTTACATTATGAATACGATTATTTGCTCTTTCGTTACGGCAGTTCGCTTCGCCAGAGAAATGTCACTGAAGGGATACCGCACCGAAAAGTGTGCACATTGTACATCGATAATCTATGATGTTCATATTTATATCTTTCAACGGTACCTATATATTTAAACGTACATACATTTTCTTGTATGTATATTTAAGTGTTACGTAACAACTATTTCGCAATATTATATGAGAAACATAAAAATATATACATTCTATGTATATTCAGTTATTTACATATTTATAGATTTTGCAATTATTATAAAAAAATACAATTTAGGATAATTAATATATCAAATTATAATTCTTAGTAATTTAATTGAGAAGGTAAATTTTAAAACAAGGATGGACACACAAAGTTACATTACAATATTAAATTCATATCTAGATTCGCGTCTTTCATTTACATATCGATTGTATAGGAAACGACGCATCTTTTGGGTTGGTAACTAAGTGATTGCGGATTTTGTCGTTTCCTTCTTATTTGAAATCCGGCAATCACTTAGGTGACAACCCAATATTTCTCTTTTTGCTATTGATACATAAATTACAGGAAAATATCTTTATGTTTATCGCAATGGTATTTATTACCTGTTCGATGATGATAATTTGTATTTTGATGATATTTTTCCAAAATTTTCCTGATTAATTGCAATTGAAACTTTGCTTCTTTCATTTTATGTTTGTAAAGGCAATAAGCATTCCACATGCATTTGTCTAGTAAATGAAAAAAAAATTTGCGGTGATTTCAATGATTTTCGTATTAAATTCACAATGCTTATAACCATATCGGCTTTATCTATAGTACACATTGAATTATTATTATCTAATATCCATACAGATTTTTGGATAACTTTTTTCCTTCATGACTGAATACCGTTGCAAATTCTGCCGTATACATAGTAGAAAGCATGTATATTTCTTTTTTATCAGGTCACTTTACGATTGATAAATTATTGGATGAATGAGAAGATGTCTCTCTTTTCTAATCGATCATTAATCTTTGGCATTCCTTCTACCTTTAAGATTAAATAAACCTGGTCTCCAATACCAGTTATCTACATAAAGGATATGGCTCTTTCCAAGATAAAACATCATAAGTGAATTATTGCTCTTGATTTTCCAATAGGCTTATTTTCACTATCTATTTCGATACATGATTCGGCATAAAGAATTATAACTTGTATAAATTTTGTCCGATAATCATTGAGAATAAAGAATTTCATGCCAAATCTACTTTTTTTTAAAGGAATGTATTGTTTGAAGGACAGCAGCCGCCTTTTATACAATAGTAAACTTTCGTCAATATACAGCCGTTGGTAAGGTTGAAATGATTGACTTTTCGATTCGTATAGAACGTCATTGATATATTAAGAAAAACATACAGGTTTTTCATTATGTTACGATATGTTACGAAAAACCTGTATGTTTTTCTTAACATATCAATGATGTTCCGTACTTTGCATAAACGATCATTAGTAGGTCCGATATCATGAGTGAAATGTAGCATCCCTAACAATTTAAAATAACGATCTCTAGTCATTATTTCTGAAAAAATATGACTATGCAGTCATATGACAGAGTTTGTCTTTATTCCAGTACTGCATTAATGACAATTTTTTGTTGCGACTGGATTGCGTCGTTGGATCAGATAAGTGCCCCATCGCCACCAACTGTCAATGATCTTTCGTTTGGTACCGGAAACGATTTTGAGCCAAAAGCACTTGGCTAGAGAGATGGTTACACCGACGGTAAAATATTATCAAGTACTGGCGAAAGCGAGACAATATTGTTGGGCAGATTAGTTGTAGAAAAAAATTCTGACATTTAAAAGAGAAGGTCAATATTTTTTTCTTGTTTGGTATAGACACTCACATAGCCCTTGAGTTTCAAAGGTAAATTGAAGCCAAAGGTAAATTCAATGGTTTCGAGAATTATCCCTCTTTCTGATTGACGCGAATAATGATTCAGGCACATAAAAAAAGAATAATAATAAACATTTCTTACTTCAAGTTTCGAGAAAGAATGAAATTTTTTTTTTTAGTAGTAAATGTAGCGTGAAGAACGTAAGAATCAATGAAAGAGTGAGAGAAAGAGAAAATAAAAAAATAAAAATATTAATATTCGTTACTATCAATAAATAATTACTTCTGACGCGTATCAATGTCGTGCATCATAATAAACTTGGCAGGTATTAAAAATTCATTATTAAGAACTCCCATCCCAAAATCTTGTTTAACATATTGCATTAATCTCCTCGTAATTTTCTATAATTTATATATTTAATCAAATATATAAATGTGATAATATCGAATAGCAATTTCCGTATCGTTCTTTTTTTATTCTTTTTATATATTTTCCTCAATTTTTTATTTTTTTTCTCCTTTTCATTATGACAAGAAGACCTTGAAAAATGACAACAAATCATAGATGTTTGATCCACTGAATCAAGAGGCTATGACGAATTTGGTGTTTTTAAGGAATATCCTAGCGAAGAATTAGAATATGAACGTTTCCTGGATTGTTAGTATAATCGATTACATATATGCATTTGTGTATAATATTCGATAATGATACATTGGAGATATAAAATAGACAAATATATAGGGTGTCTCAAAAGCATGAGACCGAACTTATACTACGTATTACTGAGGTCTGAAAGATGAAAGAAGTTTATGTAAACTTATATCCAAAAATGTTTTATTGAAAAGATTTATGCTTTTCGCATATACTAATATTTTGAATGAATTTTCGTACATAGGCACATGATTTTACTAATAATAAATGAAAATTATACGTGTTTACGCAAAACAATGAATCGTCGGCTAGAAACATCAAAATTGAAGAAAAAAAGAAAAGAAAGACAAAAAATATGTTTTCTCCTCCACTTTAGATTCTAGGGAACTTTTAAACTCATTTGCAATCTTTCTCTTTGTTTATAAGATTGATTTCACAGGATGTGCGTATAATAGAATTGAAATTATTAATAATAATATTATTATGATTATCATTATCAGAGAATGAATACGTATATGTATTACGATAGAGAAAGAGAGAGAGAGAGAGAGAGAGAGAGAGAGAGAGAGAGAGAGAGAGAGAGAAAGAGAGTGTGAGTGAGAGTGAGTGATGGTTGGGAGTGAGAGAGGGTGGGAAGGAGTGGGAGAGTGAGAGGAAGATGGACTGAGAGAGGGAGTGAGGGAAAGAGTGTGCGTGGGTGAGAGAGAGGGCGGAAGGGAGAGGGAGAGAAAGTGTGACGGCGGGAGGGTGGGCGGGAGAGAGAGAGAGAGAGAGTTATTATTACTATTCTTGCCATTGTTGTTATTATTATTGTTGTTATTATTATTATTATTATTATTATTATTATTCTATTATTATTGTTATTGTTGTTATATTTTTAAAATTGTTATTGTTGTAATTAATATTTTCATTATGATTATTAATATTAATATTATTATAATTGTTTTTATCTATATTACTGTTATCATTATTTTTATTATTATTATTATTTTTATTTTTACTGTTATTATTATGGTATATGTTATTTTTATTAATGTTGTTATAGTTATTATAATTATTATTTCTATTATTGTTCTTATTATTATTATTGTTAGTATTATTATTATGTTATAATACTAACAATATTAAAAATATGTTATATTAAAAATTTGTTTAAAAATGTTTTAATGTGTTTCTAGTTATTTTTACTTCAGAAAAACTTTTTATTCTAAAATTATTAAATACTTCAACTTTAACCATATTCAAATTAATTGTTCATACTTTTTTGATTTTGTTATTTCATAACCTCTAGTAACAAATATATCACATATGAAATGAATTAAG